TGATCCTGGCCCTGGAGAAGGAACTGACGAAGAGGGTTATAAAGAACATACCATACTGCTTGGGCCGAAGGTCTGCCGCTGAGTACATCTACGACATGGCCGAGCAGTTTACAGAGGTTCACAAGGATCGTAAGTTCTTTGGCATGTTTTGGACCAACTCTTTCAGCCACAACGACTTTTCCATGCCCTCCGCCATGGATGCCAGAATGGTCAAGTATATGCGCACACTCGACCACAACGGGATCATGAACAACACCATTGTCATCTTCTTCAGCGATCATGGCAGTCGATTCGGGGTGCTGCGCAAGTTAGACAGCGGTTTTCTAGAGGAGCGGCTGCCGGTTATTTACATGCGTATCCCCAAATGGATCCGAGACAAGTATCCGGAGTTCTTGCACAGCTTGAAGGCAAACAAGAACCGGCTGACTTCGCCCTACGACATTCATGCCACACTCAAGCACATCTTGGAACTGGACACACCCGCGGAACAGTTGCCACGACCCGAGGGGTGTCCCACCTGTCACAGCGTCTTCGAGGCGGTGTCCTTGTCCAGAAACTGTTCCCTCGCAGGCATCGACGACCATTGGTGCGGTTGTGTCGGCTTCACGGAGGTTCCCGCTACAGATCCAATGGCCAGGACGATAGCTGAGCAGATAGTGGAGACCATAAACAAATTTCTGACTGGCCTGAAAGGCACGCAAAAGTGTCAAACTCTGAAGCTAGCCAAAATATCGTCCCTTCACAGGAAAGGTAATTCAAATATCTATCTGGTAGGGCTATCCATTTCCCCCGGCGGTGGTTTCCTTGAGGCCTCTGCCCAGTGGAACCCCAAGACCGAAAGAATCTCCACTACGGTGAGCAGCATTAGTCGGCTGGACTCCTATGCGACACAGTCGCAGTGCGTTCGTGTGAAGGAAGCAAAGAAGTTTTGTGTCTGCAAAAAATAATCGGGTTCGATCAGCACCGGGCAACCGCAGGGCAGCACAGGAACCACAGTTGTGACCACAGTTCGGTATCGTGATTGTGCAAAGAGCAAATGTTGGGGGGGGGTTGACAATTACATGACAATTGGCATGGATACTCTCGGATAATTGTCACTTGACAATTACCATGATCAGATTGTTCGGGGGATGCGCAAACTAATTAATTCTAATCGTATATCTATGTACATAATTAAATTGTATTACCTATGTTAACTAGTGTTAGTCCTAACTTTAGCCAGAGAACCCACAAAATCTATCTCATCACTTCATTGATCTAATCAGTCATAGCTAGACAACACAACGATTCAGATATTCTGATAAAAGTTCTTTGTATAATTGATTGCGTTTATTTATGTGTACTTATAATCTAGTATATATTAATGACAATGGTATAACCCAAATGATTTATAGACATTTTGTAAGAATGATTTTGTCATTGGCGTGTGAATGCACTTGAGTGTTAGTACGAATAAATGATTATCTCGACTTTATGAATCTCTCCGGTGGACAAAACTATTGAATTTTTGTAACTTATCATAGTAAATATAATTATATGTAAGTTAGCCTGTAATCCATTGTAGTCTTTCAAACTAAACAATAAATCGATCGGTAAAAAGAACCCATTTTAACATTTAATCAGACCACTATCTAACAAACAGTGGCGCCAGAAATCTATTACCCGTACCCAAAAAAAGTTAAGGAGTTAATTAGTTGTGGTAAAAGTGGATGTGTGTGCAACGCAGAGAAGGAAACGTTTCCGACCCAATAAAGTGTAACGTTTCACCTGCCTACCCACGAACACAAATATATATAAATTATACCAGGCTAGTTGTTGGTCCGGCTTCTGCTCGTCGGCTATTAGGGGTGATGATCTTTCCCCCCTCATGCCATGCCCCTACCTTGGCCATTCCAAGCCGCCTTCATTAAAGATGGAATGGCCCCTTTCGCCTAGAGATGCCTGCATGGGGAGAGTGCTAGCTAAGGCAAAACAAAAACAGATTAAAACATTATAAAATATATTCTAAATTTTATAAAATTGAACATACCGACATACTTGAGCTACAATGTAATGCACGAGAAATAAATGGTATTAAATGGACTAAAAATGAATAAATACGAACAAATAATAAATAAATATGAATAAATTCGAATTGATATGACTAAATATTTAAGCGCGAAGATCGCTGCTAGGAAAGCCAGTCTCTGCTTGGAAATTAATCGAATTTTTCGGAAATGTGATCGTTCGCTTGCAAGAAGTGCTACGCATAAACTTTGATGGCAGAGGATGGGCTGGCGCATAATTAACTAAGTCCGCGTATAAATACATATCTGCTTGTTTTGTCCGTTGTACAAAAATGACGACTTATGTGGCCGTAAAAGCACTCACCCTTATCAGGAATCCATCGAAGAAAGCGCTTTCACCGACCTATTGCAGCATCTTTAAAGGAGAAAGGGGAGAGAGGAAAAACACCGGGATGGAAACAAAATGTTCTAAGCGCGCATTCCCTGACCTCTCTTTCATTGCTCACTGCACAAACACTTCCTTATCTTGCTGTGACACAAACGTAATAGTTAAAAAATAAAAAAAATAAAAATTTTGTGGGCATCTGGTATGCCTCTGGCGACTCGCCGTCCTGATCCACAAGGGGGTCTCTCCCGATTCCCTCGCTCCCAATAGCGAAGGGTCGCCGACGCAGCTGTCTCACTGCACGGTTCACGGGCACTAACTAGCCATCCTCTAAGCACTAGCTCTGCCTGCTAGAATTTCAGCTGATCACCCCTTTTCCCTTGCCCAATAAGCTGCTACTTGCGAGCGCTGCTGGTATTAAGCGTACAGTAAGGCGCAAGGGAGATATAAGAAATGGGCTCGTCCGAGCTTTTGCGCGTATTAGCTGCCGCCTATCTGGGTGATGGAGCGGGACTCCTCTGTTGAGCTTCTCCTTGACTGCGGGAGCGATCCGCCAACTCAGTATCCAACTGAAGGGCACCTCTTTGCGGCGTCCCGGCAGTGGCGTAGCTACGTACGTGCAAGACGGTGCGGCCCCCAAGCTCATGGGCCCAGACTCTGACCAAAAAATCTCTCACTCCTCACTTCTGTTTGAAATGCAAGCATGAATTCGACTTATATAATTAAGCGTCGTTTAAAGATTATCATCATTCTATGGAAACGGCGGTAACGTTCCAAACGGTAAAATATGATTTTCGGAGGGTTTATCAACCAATTTCAGATGAGCCTTTTCTTCATTAATTAATATGCACCCATAAAAAACAAAAAAAAAATTTAAAAAAACGAGAAGGAACGTGTGAGTCGCTTCTTTGGACGCGACTTTACTTTTATACTAGTATACAGTCGGTATATAAATTTGTGAGCTTATGATGATGGTGTTCCAATAGGATGGGTCTAATAGGATGGGTTTAGCAATATGATGGGCTTCTGCTTTCAATAATAAAGACGACTGCTCTCCTTTTCGTGCAAAGAATTACTGAAGTTTTTATTTCATCTTTTCCCTACCTATAGGGCTGAAAGGTTAGTATATAATGTACATAAAGTGTACATACTATTTTGACACCGGAGACTGCTGGCTCAGCTCCTCGCCGGATGTTGATTCGAATGTGTTTACATTCGAATCTCTGCTGTTGTGGCGGAATGTGCTGTCGCGGACGATCTCCGGGTTGAACGACATCGGTTGAACGACGTCTAATTGATGCACCAACATATACACAAAAAAATAGAGGTCACACAATATAATTTTCTATCGACTTTTCCTGAGTTTTTAAAGTAAAAATTTCGTTAAAAATACCGCAAAAAAATCATCATTTTTGCATTTCAATGCTTTATAATTCCCAGACGGCAAGCTTAAATCACAAAGTGTTTGGGCTTAACTTCTAGCTGTTTTAATTATCTTTTACAACCAGACGTAAGGTACTAGAGTTACGTGAAAAAAGAAGCGCTACCTCTGAAAAAAGCTTTAAAAAATACCAGATTTAAAAAATTCTTCAAAAAAAATTCTGCCCTAGAAAAAACCATAATTCTTTTAAAAATTTTTAAGTCCAATATCTATCAGAAAAAGTTGGTTTGGATCCTTGAGGACAAAAAAGAGTTGGATTTTGTCGAGTAGTGTTATCGTCCTTTGTGGTGGTGGAAGGGGGCGGGGCGAAATTTTGAAATACACTTGTAGCAGTGCGTTAGTCTGGAAACAAAATTTGGTTGCTCTAGCTCTTATAGTCTCTGAGATCTAGGCGTTCATCAAGACAGACAGACAGACATAGAATCGGCTATTGATGCTGATTAAGAATATATATATTTAATGGGTCGGAAACGTTTCCTTCTCTGCGTTACACACATCCACTTTAACCACAAATATAATATACCCCTTAAATCTTTTTCAGTACGGCTGTAACAATTTAATTTATCGGAAAAAGTCGGTTCTCTTCGAAGCGTAAATAAAAAGTTAAATTTTGTCGAGTATTGTATTGTATTGTCGAAAAGTAAGGCAAGATAAAGATTGTAATTTTGTTAAATGTACAATAAAGTTTTTTGAACACATACATTTTCAAATAAATAATTCGATTTTCCTCATGACCTAATACAAAAATGATTAATACATAAAGCTCACACAAAACCCTCTTAATGATAAAGTATCTGACTTTAGGTTGGGCCCCAATTTTTTTTTGCACCGGGGCCCCTTCTTTCTAGCTACGCCACTGCGTCCCCTCTGCCCAGCGATAGATAACGGGCGCCAAGATCTGCACGAAGCGATGGAATTAGGCGTTGTCGCCCTCAAACTTTAATTATCCATTCTCACCAATTCAACGCCTCTTCCCAAAATTCAACTTCTCCCTTCTGGACTTTTTCACTACCAATTTGCACTTTACTCGTATGTATACGCGTATTATAAAAAAAAGCGAGTTTTTCTACTCCGCAAAACTGCACTAACTGGGGGACCAAAAGCAAGAGATCGAGCTAGACGCTTCCGTTTAAGCGCCAACCTCGTGGAATAGGAAAGGTTAAAAAACATGGCGAACACGGAGGCCACACTAAACGAGTTAAGAGAGCAACTGCAGAAACTTCAAATAGCAAACGCACAGCCAACAGCTGCAAATTCTCAAAACTTAGCTCAAATCATCATTCCCAAATTCAACAAATCCAATCCGACACTTTGGTTCGCGCATATAGAGCGCCTCCTTAGTTTGCACAATGTGGTGCGCGACGACCACAAGTTTGACCTGGTGTCAATACAACTGGAGGAAGATGCAGCCCGTGCAATCGAAGATCTCATTACTCGGCCACCTACTGATAACAAGTACGATGCAATGAAGCGTCGGCTGCTCGAAACTTTCGGCGAATCAGAAGATTCGAAAATGAGACGACCCCTCCGGGGTGGCGACATGACTGGGAAGAAGCCGTCGGAGATCTTGACTCACTTGCGTCGTTTAGCACCTGCTAGTGGATGCGAAGCCGTAATACGAAACCTTTTCTTCACTGAGTTGCCTTCGTCGATTCGTCCACTCATTTCGGTTTGGGAGGAGAATGACCTGGACAAGCTGGCAAAGATTGCCAAGATGCTCGAAAATAGCCCTATCGACTCCATAGGTGTTATGTCGACTCAACCCAAGCCCGCTGAGCAAAGGCAGCACAGCGTGGAGGCGGTAAGTAGCAACAATCAAAATTTAAAAGACGTTGCTGCTGCTCTGCATATTCTAACGCAGAAGGTGGAGAAGCTACAACACGACATGCACGCCGCCAAGAAGCCCAAGGTTTCTCAGCCAGTAAATGGCACGAGCGCAGACAATGATGTCAACAATGCAACCCTTTGCTACTACCACATCACGTTCGGTGATCGCGCATGCAAGTGCCGCCCAGATTGCCGATTTTGTCAACAGTTAAACTTAAGCTGCTACCGCTAACTCAGCTGGTTGGCGGTAGTATCTCAACGACCAGCGACAAGTCATCCAGGAATCAGGATCACCGACTGCACATCCAAGATCAAAACACTAGTCGGACCTTTCTCATCGATTCCCGATCGGTGGTGTTAGCTATACGCTGCGCCATGGCTCAACGCAAACTTAGCGAAAGTAAACAGGAATGGTATGCCGCGAACCAGACTATTATACGAACCTTTGGACATCAGGACCTGGAACTCGACCTGGGCCTGGATCGTTCCTTCAAATGGTCATTTGTCGTCGCTGATGTACAATCGGCAATAATTGGCGCTGACTTCCTAGCACAGTTCCATTTGCTCGTTGACATCAAGAAACAACGTCTTACCAACAACAAGCATATCCGTAATCTCGCAGGATTTTGCTTCGCCAAATAACGATAAAACGGAGCAAGGCGAGCACCTACACATCGACAACATGAACTCATCCGATTCACCTTCAGTTCGCCACTACATAACAACAACGGGAGCACCCGTAGCAGATCGGAGCGAAACTATTTGTGGCTAAAGCACAGATACATCAACTTATCGACAACAAAATCTGCAGATACTCCAAAAGTCCATGGGCCAGCTCGTTGCACATGGTAGCAAAAAGCAGTGGTGGATGGCGGGCTTGCGGCGACTATCGCAAGCTTAATGCCATCACCGTTCCAGATCGTTACCCGATTCCCCCCATTCACGATTTTGCCGACCGACTATATGGAAAAAGCGTTTTCACTACACTAGACCTCGAACGAGAATACTATCAAATACCGATGGCCCCAGAGGACATCGAAAAAACAACAGTATGCACACCGTTCGGGCTAATTGAATTCGTAAAAATGCCATTTGGACTGAAAAATGCGACACAAACGACCCAGCGTTTCATGGATCAGATCTTCCAAGCGGTTGAATGCGTCTTTTGCTACATTGACGACATTCTCATAATGTCCACTTCAGTGGAAGAGCATAGACAACACGTGGATAGGATTTTACAAATCTTGGTATAGTTAACTATTACCGTCGCTGCATACCTCATGCGTCAGAGATCCAGGCGCCACTCAACGACTTGACAGGCAACATGAAGAAAAACGACAAACGACCTGTGCAGTGGACGCCAAGCTCGATTAAAGCATTCGACAATTGCAAAAATAGCATAGCTAACGCCGCAACCCTCGCTCATCCCAGTCTTAATGCAGACCTAAGTCTCACTTGTGACGCCTCCGACACAGCCATTGGAGCAGTACTTGAACAAAATACGAAAGGGAAATGGCAGCCTCTCGGTTTCTTCTCCAAAAAACTCAGCGCTACTGAAAGAAGGTAAAGCACTTATGATAGAGAGGAAACCGAGCTGTCTGAGATTTTAAATGGCGACACATCTTTAAATCTACAAGCGATTCCAGTCGACGATGATTGTCATATGGGAACAGGAACAGCTCGACCATATATTCCCCAGTCCTTGCGATCCCATGTATTTTCAAACGTACACGGACTGTCGCACCCAAGTGGCAGGTCAACTCTCAGACAAATCTCTCGAAAGTACGTGTGGCCGTCAATGCGCAAAAATGTTCTGGAGTGGTCAAGGAACTGCCTCCCGTGCCAACGAGCCAAAATTCATAAGCACAACGCTGTGATCCCGGAAAAGATCACCGTTCCCGATGGAAGGTTTGATCACATACATCTAGACATTGTCGTGATGCCCTTGGTTGACGGATACAGATATTGCCTGAAAATGATCGACCGCTTTTCTCGCTGGCCAGAGGCTGTGCCATTAAAGGATATGACTGCAGAGACCATTTGTGAGGCACTATGTTCGCGCTGGATTTTACGTTTTGGCTGCCCATTGACTATTACAACCGATCAAGGAGGTCAATTCGAGTCGGCACTTTTCAAATCACTGGCCACTGGCCAACCCCCAGGCAAATGGCATGATCGAGCGTTGGCACAGGTCCATGAAAGGTCCATGAAAGGTCCATGAAAGGATGTGCTGGGCCTCCGCATATGCTTCAAGCTGCATTAAGACATCAGCAGCAGAAATGTTATATGGTTGTATTCTACGCCTTCCAAACGAATACTTTTACGACCTGGACGCGCCTTCGAACCCAGTCGACTTTGCCAGTCAGTTCCGGAAAAGAATGCAGGTGGTGAAGCCAACTCCAACTTCGCATCACAGCACACATAAACTCTTCCTGCTTAAAAACATTCAAAATTGCTCACATGTCTTCGTCCGAACTGATGCGGTGAAACAACCCTTGGAGCCGCCGTACACGGGACCATACCCGATTATATCCAAGTCATCCGACCGGGTTTTCCTGATTCGGATTAATGGAAAGGAGACAGTAATTTCAATCGACAGGCTTAAGCCTGCATTTATAGCAAACGACGAGACCAGCCCTACGGAAGATCAGCAGTCGAATATGCCGCCACGAACAAATGCAAAGAAAAATGAAACCTAAAGATTGGGCACTTTTCTAGGGGGAGTACTGTGGCAGCCCGGATCGCGGCCCTCTGGCAGGGCCAGCAACAACCTCGAGACGAAATGGCAGCTCCAGCAACGGACTCTCAACAAGTCAGCAGCTTCAGCAACTACGACGACATGCGACAAGACATTGTAATCAAAGATTAAGAAATAAAGAGTTATAGTAAACGACCGATAGAGCGTACATTGGCCAAGTCGCCAAAACTCTAGATGCTGCTACATGCATGTACTACATATGCATGTGTGTATTGTTTATATGATTTCCTTGTCCTCCATGTAACGTTTTGCATTTTGGGCTACTGCATTAAAATAAGTTCCCTAGCTATAATAGTCTCTATATCAACACGCGGCTTTTGATTGAAGATCAAGGATGTATTTACCGATATTTTATGAGTTCAGACACGCTTTCTTCTGTCTGCTAAATAAATTTACACGAATTTAGTATGCCCTATATTCTTTGAGTAGTTCTTTCCAGTCGTACTTTGTATAACCGACTCCACCAAAAAGATTAAATTACACCCGATCGTTCGTTTATTTCCCGAATTGTTTTTATAATTATGCATTATAATTTAAGCGAGAAAAAAATGTATCAAAAAACGTTTGCATCCGATTGCATTCATAAGAACTTCTTGTATAGGGTATCAATACAACAAATGAAGTTTCTAAGTATTAGGTCTGTTATACGTAAAATCAAGTTAATTAAGGGGAATGCATGGTCGCAGTGCTGTTGCCTTCAAGCTGTCGCAGCGATAGTACGCTAGTGCCTCACTGGTAGATAAATATTTTAGCAGTTTTACTAAGAAGCGCGAACAGTTCGGACCTATCGGCTCCGAATATTTGTATTTATTTTTTGTCACGGAATTACTGTTGATAAGGGCGAGGCGAGGGCATGTTAAACACTAAATACCAACTAATTCCGACTGACGAGCATTTGCCCAAGGAGAAGAGCTCTGCAACATGGATAGTGAAGTTAGCCCTAATATTTGTGGGGCTCTTTACTCTTGCTTTCTACACTTGGAGTCCCGTATTAGTTCAACCAGAGCCCTGTACGTTCACTACTCCAAGAGCGAATGAGGCGTTAGCAAAGTGGGAAGCGAATTGTACAACCTCTGTCTTTGAACAGTCTACCACCGAAAACGAACACTCAACCACGACCAATGAACAGTCAACCACGAACTTAGTCTTGGGACAGCAATTGACAGCAAGGACCACCAAAGCATCAAAGTCCGAGGAAAAAAACAATAGATTCTTTGTGAATACGCCTCAGTGTCAAATGCCCTATCCAAACCCCTTCTCCAGAAATATTTTAAATGTGTACCACAGGAAACGCTATGTAGTGTGTGATAAGAGACCGGACATGCTGAAAGTCAACTACAATGAAAAAGAACTGCACATGAACAATGCCAATTTAACATGTTGCTACAAGCAGATCTTGAGAGCAGGAGTTCGGACAGAAGCTGACTCTCAGTACAAGTAAGTGCTAAAGGTATACTCAGAATTATGCATCCAAAGAAGGCAAACATAGATCATTATTTGTGCAGGCTGCTTCCATGCGTTACGTTCCCCCAGGATTTTGTGGTACCCAACCACGTGGAGGCAGTGATCACTGAATGTCGTCGGCCAAACAGTTCAAAAGTCCTGCAAGAGGATGGTTTTAGTTTTGTGCATCCACGAAAGCCAGACCCAGACCCCACGCCTTCATCGCCTGCTGATGGAGGTGCGGAGAGAAGGCCCAGCGTCCTGCTCTGGGGCATAGACTCGCTTTCACGCATGAACTTTGAGCTAACCATGCCATTGACGTTCAAGTATTTCCGGAAACAGCCGTGGTACGAGCTGCAGGGTTATAACAAGGTTGTTAAGCGTTGTATATCATGCTCGTAGATTCGTTCCTTAATGGATGGCTTCTGTTTCTGCAGATGGGTGACAATACCTTTCCCAATCTGATGGCCGTCCTCACGGGCTTCAACCAAACCCGATCATATTCTAAGTGCCGACCAACCGCAGTGGGTGGGCTGGATGCCTGTCCCATGATCTGGAAGAGCTTCAGGGCGAAAGGCTACGCGACCGCCTATGCGGAGGACTGGAGTAGTAAATCGACATTCGATTATCTGAAGATGGGTTTTCGCACGCCTCCCACGGATGTGTATGGACGCCCGATGATCCTGGCCCTGGAGAAGGAACTGACGAAGAGGGTTATAAAGAACATACCATACTGCTTGGGCCGAAGGTCTGCCGCTGAGTACATCTACGACATGGCCGAGCAGTTTACAGAGGTTCACAAGGATCGTAAGTTCTTTGGCATGTTTTGGACCAACTCTTTCAGCCACAACGACTTTTCCATGCCCTCCGCCATGGATGCCAGAATGGTCAAGTATATGCGCACACTCGACCACAACGGGATCATGAACAACACCATTGTCATCTTCTTCAGCGATCATGGCAGTCGATTCGGGGTGCTGCGCAAGTTAGACAGCGGTTTTCTAGAGGAGCGGCTGCCGGTTATTTACATGCGTATCCCCAAATGGATCCGAGACAAGTATCCGGAGTTCTTGCACAGCTTGAAGGCAAACAAGAACCGGCTGACTTCGCCCTACGACATTCATGCCACACTCAAGCACATCTTGGAACTGGACACACCCGCGGAACAGTTGCCACGACCCGAGGGGTGTCCCACCTGTCACAGCGTCTTCGAGGCGGTGTCCTTGTCCAGAAACTGTTCCCTCGCAGGCATCGACGACCATTGGTGCGGTTGTGTCGGCTTCACGGTTCCCGCTACAGATCCAATGGCCAGGACGATAGCTGAGCAGATAGTGGAGGCCATAAACAAATTTCTGACTGGCCTGAAAGGCACGCAAAAGTGTCAAACTCTGAAACTTGCCAAAATATCGTCCCTTCACAGGAAGGGTAATTCAAATATCTA